ACATTAATGGTTTATCATAGACCACTGTCACATGACCCTCTATACATTAAGATGGTTTATCATAGACCACTGTCACATGACCCTCTATACATTAAAACAGTTTCTCAGGGTTTTGGTTTACTATTGTTTCAGGATATCAGATGGTTTAAAATAGAACATCTCCCAGCTCATAAGAAAGACACCAGTTGTAATGAGTATCTCAACTGTAATCCAAGTAATTTTTTCATGGTCATTCCATTCGTAAAGTAAGTCTGCAATACAACTTTTCCTGTTCTTTTGTGTTTCTGATGTGGCACATTTTATTTGACTTTGAAATATTTCGATCATAACCTTCTGGGAATCAATTGGCATCACAGGTTTTTCTCTGGGGTCTCTAGTTTTTCTCCTTCCTCAAAATCCAACATGTTACAGTAAGTTGCTATTCGATCTGTGAGTTTGCTCAACAAGCTCTGGGCTGATCAAAGTCATGGCATTGCTAACTCGCAGATGGATCTAAAATTTAGCATGTGGAGAAGGCAGAGCCAGACTTTTGAATCAAAGGAGAGATGTAATAGATTCTACTTCCATGTGATAAGAATCGAACCTGAGACCCGAGAGTTCATAGGCAAGAGTACTACCCCTACACCACCCCAGTTTGCCAGTTTTATGAATGCTGTAATTTTACTTACCTTAAGTGTGTGTTGTGTTAGCAGCTGACTGAAATTCTAATCTTATTTTTCTAAAGAGATCTTCGTCGTCGGCTGACCAACAAGACTCCTCGTCCAAGCAGTCAAAACAGCATATCAAACAGAGAAGAATTCGATTCTCCTATCAGAATACAACTACAGAAATTAGTAGACAAAGAAGATGCAAGAATTGAAAGTGAGAGGAAACAAGCAGCTGCAGAAAGAAGAAGAAAAGCTCAACAGGAGAAGTTCCTAGCTCAACACGCGATGAGTCATCCCTTGCGAGACCACCATCAGAGRGAACAAGAAGGACTTAGAACTGCTAGAGGTATATGATTTTGTTTCTTTAATATTTGTAAGAAATTTGTAGGAAATATTCATATAAAATGTTCTGACAGGTTCCATGAAAATACCCCAATTGAGATTTTGCGCTATATAAATTCAATAAATTATTATTATTATTAATTAGCAGTTATTCGGCGAAGTGAATATCGGGGAATATTTACCCAGACGCAAGTCTTCGAGCGGCGAGGTAAATATTCTCCATATTCACTGAGGCTGAGGCGAATAATTTTAATTAATGGAAAGCTTCYGAAAGCTACCCTTTTTTGCGCAAACACTAAAAATATTTGTCAATTGAATATTTTGCTGAATTTCTTTACTTGACTAGATTATCAAAGTCCAACCGGAGAACGGGATTCCAGATATTCAAGGGGGTCACCTGTACTTAAACAATACCAAGAACAACAGCCAACGATAAAGATTCTTCAACGACCAGAGCGTGCGTCCTCTCCACTTGACACAAAAATACCACAGGACACACGTGATAAGCCCAGCCTACGTTATTATAAAACAAGCAATGTCTCAAGGTCTCTTGATTATGTACAAGACTCTAACCCACTACAAAAGTTACTACACGGCACTAGTGATCTCAACTCGATTCCTAGTTCCGTTAGTTACGGCCCCTTTTCGCCGATATATCAACCATCGTCCATGTCTTCTTATGGCACAACCCCTACCCATCCCACTACGAGGTACCCTGGCTATCAGTCTGAATTATGGAAGCAGGACCATACAAGTGTACAGATAGAACAGCATATGGACCCTCTAACGAAACTGAGACTATTGTCTGCATCTGCGACAACTGTTCATCACACCAAGCTAAAAACCTCTGTTCAAGAGAATAGTAATACGAGAACTGAGGAGAAGGTTTTATTTAGCGCACCAGCTTTCGTAAACTTTGCGTTTAATCGGAAAGCGATACTAGCGACTCTTGATGGTTCCTAATCATCCCTGAACAGTTGGTTCCCACAGAAATTTTACGTTATACGATTTTAAGCAAAGGCCTTCTTTTATCCAGTATCGGTTGACCGACATGGTGACTTTATAAATGTGTTAATTTTCCTAAGAAATAACAACCCCCCCCCCCCCCCCCCCCAATGTAGAGATTACCATAAACTCTATTAGATAAACTTTATTAGATAATCTATTTATAAACTTTTTTCATTTAGGCAGTAACCCATTCTACTCGTATAAGTGCTGAAGTATACCTAGTCCAGACGCTGTCCCACTCCTTTGACCTCTGCGCTTTTGTTGGGCTGCCTGTGCTCTTTTCCGCGAGCACAAGGTGCCCAAGCTCCTAATATATTCGTTTTTACAATTCTAAATGATTTGTTTCTAGTATAAATACGGCGTTCTTATGCATTTCAGTTCTGTTAAAATTTATCTTTTAATGAAAAATGTCATAAGCTGAATAATCAATTAGTTTGATAGACTTTTTTTATTCATTCTTTGTCTTTTCTTTACCATGGCTGGATATTGCCCCATTTCAGACCACGTGTAATTCTCTTGAAAATAGGATTCTTTGTTTGATTAGTATCCATATTCATGCGTAACCGTTAAACAAATAAATGTTACTCTTGAGAATCACACATRGTCGTAATGGAAATACAATGCCCAACAAAAAAATATCTCTATAACGTGTTAGTTTTTCGGAAGAGAAGAAAAGCTGAAAACCCGTGGATTTCGCTTGCCCTCATTTCCTCGATTTTCCGCAATTTATTTTTGACCGTTCGATAAGTTTGTTTGCATAATAAATGAAGTTGCCATGCAGCAGCAGGTGCAGCACTCTAACCACCTGAGCCATGGAAACCTCAGGCGTAGACATGGGACATCTAATCACATACAGTCCTTTGACTAAACGTTGTCGTTGATCGGATCATCCCTACGCGCCTAAAGATCCAAACGCTGTGAAAAAGAAAAAAAAATTACTCTGGTTAACCAAGTGCGTCGTACGTTTCCGAACACGCGAGTGGGATGTACTTTGGTTTTTGGATTTGGGATTTAGGATTAGGTATTTGGTTACCTCCACTTACAAAAAGCCTACCTTAACCCTAAACCTAACCACACGACCACAAAGTATATTTAAGCATTTATTAGTATAGCATAAGCAGGGGCAGATCCACGGGTGGTAATATAGGTGACTATTTCCCCCCAACCCCAAATTTGCTCGAATTTCTCTTTATGAAAATAGCATATATAGGGGTTTGAATTTGAATGGATCCCCCTGGACAATTCCCGTACACCACGATAGAGGTTTTGCGCAATCACGTGACGGCAGCCATGTTAGATGGCAGGAACACGACAATTGTTTTACATGAGAAAGAATTCAATTTCCAAGAGCAAAGGTATTTTATTGCTCTGCCATCTAAGCGCAGGCAGCTCAAGCTGGATTATGGCGCCGGCACGTGATGGTGCAAAAAAATTATACTACCCGGAAATGGGTCTGAATAGCTAAGAATAGCTAAGAATAGCTAATGACATCAAAGAAGACATCCTTGTTATCCATTTTTTTCAATCACGTTCGGCTCATGTCAGACTCGGAAACACAAAAGAGAACATTCCTGATGATAATAAGGAACAATGATATCAGTAATAATAAAATGGGACCGCAATGAATCTTGAACAATGGATTTCTGAAGGTAGGCAAACAATGAACACACGAATCACACTAATAAAGAACATTAATATTAAATACATGTACCTAAAAAAAATTTAAGGCATTGAAGAGCACAACTTTCTGCAAGTAGCCCTGAACGCATTGCATAATGAATCTACTCCACAAAACGTTGAAAAGTGTATTGACAATCCTATTGACAGTTGTTTCTGTAAAGGGTAAGTGAGACAAGACATTTTAGTCTCCACTTTGGAATTTAACACAATTATTAGAAATTATTTCCCATTCTCAAAGATGACAACCTATAGTTTGGAAGTAAAACTCACCTCGTATATCTGCCGTTTTACCTCAGTTTCACACACTTAAACACTCCTTATCGACCACTTCTTTATTAGTATCTAGTATCTACATCTAGTTCCTTGTTTTCCCTAATTCTTCAACAACATTCGGGGGTATTTATTTCTCACTGGAGTTAGATACTTCGACATACATGTACAGTCCTCAGTTTGTCCTTAACTTGAGCAACCAAAATAAAGAATAAACCCAAATATGTGCATTTCTGAAATTTATTCCAATTTTTCCCCTACATTTGAAACAGAAGAAGAAGGTATTTCTTATATGTCTAGTTTTCAACGTTCTCGTTGATGCTGCTTTGCCGGCCGAGTACTTCACAGTAAAAGGTCGAATATCGGAATTCAAGTAGAAAAACCGAGAAACAACCTTGTCAAACTTGATTAAAAATAAGAATTATTGTTTTATCAATTTTAAAAACACCTCCAGGGAGACTGATTTGGGTGAAAATATATTCAATTCTTTTCGATTCTATTTTTTATTATCTTCCATTTTTTCCTAATATTTGTTATTCAGAAAATAATGTAAAAGATTTCCAAACGTCTCCTTTGATTGTTTCATCAAGCCGTTCGTACTGTTGTTTTTATACTTTAGCACATAGTTAAAACTAGGTGCTAAAGAATACGTTGAAAACGAGGATCATGACCTCAAGAAAAGCCCTGAATTCTGTTTAAGATACCTTTCTCAAAAAGTTTAGATTTAAAACGTTTTTTTAGTTCCATGAGAACGGTTTTAGAAACCAAATGATTGTCTTTAACACCTCTTCCTACACAGGTGAAAGAAAGTGTTAATATTTAACACTTATTGACTGGGAGCGAAGGAAACTGTGATTTGTGCGAATTAAAGAATTCACAGTTGAATTAGTTGGCAGTAAATGTTGGAATATGGTTTTACCTTAGTTTAAAGTGAAAGGCAAGCGGTCTTACAGGAACATGTCCCTCAACAACTCAAAGTTTAATAAATGGCAAATATTTGACGCAAGGCGTTTTCCTATTTTTCATATTTTCAKTATTTAACACTGCTATATAGAAATATTAAAACTATTGAAAAAAGGTATTCTTTGGTTAGACGATAGGACTCGATAGTAGGTAAACCAAACTGCTTTTTCTAGACAAAATATACGAATGTTTGTTAAAAACACCGGAATATTCGCAAGATTTATGAAGCTAAATAAATGGCAAATAYTTCGTGTAACATGTTCTCCTTTTTATACTTAATTCAACATTAGAATAAATTATCTATAGAAATATTAAAACTATTGAGAGAAAGTTTTTGATTTGTCGATTGGAAGCAAATGAAAATGTTTTTTTCTAGAATGYGGAAGTATACGTTTGTTCCCTAAAAAATACCTGAATTCTTGAAGAATACTTCTTGATCCATCTTTGACTACATAAAATGTTTTTTGTCGTTGTTTCTGTTCTGCTTTGAAATAAARCGGGAGCTCTGTGGTATGTACACGGACGTACGGACATACTGACAGAAGTGACRTAATCAATCAATGGAAAATCAAAACTCCTTGGGTTATCAATTTTCTTAAAGAGTGTGGTGCTAAGCTTAAATTTGTAGAATTCAATCTCTTTTCGTTTTTTCTCTCAATTTTTTTTTCTTTTCTTTGAATACCGCACAATTTTCTAAATATTATTATTCAGAAAATGTGAATTTTTTCCCACTTGTTCTTTGATTATGTTTTMCACAGCTTCTTTTAATTATCTAACTAGATGTTATTCATACTAGTACTGGTGTCACTTTGGAACAAYTGGATTTCTGCTCAGTATTTATTAAATCAAGAAAAAACATTTCATACATGTCCAAAATAGACAATTTTCTTGGCATCGTCGTAGAATGTTCTGGGCCGTATATTCATCAGAAAAAATCTGATAACATTTAGTCAGCTACGATTTCAAGCTCACGCCCCCTCATGTGAGCCCATACAAATTGTGTCTCAAAAGCACGGTTTTTGGATCTTTTCTCAAAATAATGACTATCTAGGCAAAAAACCGAAGTGGATTCAGTTAATTCAACCATTCACGGACTGTATTATATGGTTTAGATTGAATGCTATTGAAAAAAACCACCGTACTTTTTGAGTTGAATGTACGATATTGGATATATTTTACAAGAGAAAATGCATGACATAACCGGGGTCAAGCTAGAAAATCGTCTCTCCTTGATATAAAAAACAACCTGTCAAAAGAAAAACAGAAGTGGATTTGAAAACCCCGGGCTTTCCTGAACATTTTGGTATATAATTCATAGAAATTGTTAAAATTTAGAACCGTATTTTTGCTCATTTTATAAGCTCATACTATCTGTTGGCCTATACATTYGCCTCTTATGGTTTCTTAGGTTTCGTAGCCTCGAAAACACGCTAACTACAGTAGTTCGCGAAGAACAGAAGATTTACGGGTCATTTAGGATGTTTTGTCACGCAGTTTACTTGTGCTATATAACTTTACTTTTAAGAACAACCTTTTGCTTTGGAAAGAGAGGAAAAAGACCGAAAAGATCAAATATTCCAAATGTATGGGCAATTTTTTCCAATGAAGTTAATTGAATAAAAGTTCTTGCACCCCAAAGAGAAGTCAAAGCAATGTATGCCAAACAAATGTTGATTCATAAGAAGCTTTCGATACCTATATAAACGATCAAATGTGGTCGTTATTTAGAGTGAATTGTGTGCGTTCCGCCAACTTGGTGTACCTTCGTGGTCCACCAAGATGGCGGCCAAATTACCAGGATATAAGTCACGTTTAATATTGCAAAAAAACTTAATTCCTCAAAATAGATATTCATTAAATAAAATCATTGTATTTGACACCTACCCCAACACAGGTGATGATGGCTGTAAGGTGCTGGACTTTCTTGACTGTCAAAAAAACAAAACCCTGACTGGTCACGTGATCAAGTCCTTCAGAATCTTAGCACCCGGATTAGAGGATTGTCAGCACCAATGTTACATAGAAGATAACTGTGTATCGTACAACATGGGTCCARTGGAAGGGATGGCAAGATCATGTGACCTCAATGACGCTGATCATTGGATGTGGCCGCATCACGTGCAACAAAAAGAGGGTTTTGAATACTGTCCTATAAAGGTGAGTAATACCTTTTACA